GCCAAGAAGGACTAAGTCCTTCTGGAATAACGCTTTGCAGAAAGTTAAAAAAAAAAAAAAAGAATGATGGGACAGACAGGTGTGTTCATCATGAGGGGCAGTATAGTGAGGAGGTGAAATGGCAACGTATCTTTTATGGTAATAGATTGAAAAAAACTAAACATCACTGTGTATCTTGACCATTCCTTATATATAATGCCCTTGTGCCTAAATGTATATACACATATTATTACGCGTGTGTGTACCTATCTATGCTGTATATGTGTGTGGACGATCTCTAAAAAGGAAAATTCCTTGTCAAAACAAATGACTGTCCTAATTATGTGAAGTACAAATTGGGGAGTTTTGTGCACAACTCTAACCAGGGCTGTGCATTATTGATTGTTTGATAATTGATAAGAAGGTGCAGGTCAGCGTCTTGGGATGACTATTCCAAGCCGGGTGGAAGGGATCACCCGTCTCGTGACCATACTTACTAGCACTGCTGGTCCTGAACACACTGAGATTAGGGCAGCAGGTAAAAAGCAGAGTTAAAAAATTGTAATTGGAAGGGCAAAGGAAGTCTGATGAAATTACCTAGGGGAAAAAAAATACTCCAACTATAATTTAATTGAAGTTTTCCCAAAAGTTAAAATACTTGTTACATCATCTTCTTCTTTCAGGGAAGCACTTATTCTACTGAGCCATCTCCCTAGCCCTTATTCTTTCCAATATACAATATTACAATAGATCTCTTGTACAGCTTTGAACTTAATTATAAAAGCCAATATAAGTGAATTAAAGATTCATAAGCTCAAAGAGCTAATCAGTCCATCATATATTTTTGTGATTATCTTTCATGATGTTACACAGCCCAGAAAAACCCCAAAAGCTCTAGTTTGGCATACAGGTTTAGTCACGTAAAGACTTTGGTCTCAGAGCTCTAAGAGTGTGGCTCTGTAGTAAGACCGCTAGCTGAACATGCCCAAGGATTTGAGTTGGATCCTCGGCACTGCAAAGAAGCAAAGATTTTGGTCTCAGAAACAGACTAAGTAACTAAATATTTATTGGGTGTTCTAAATATGCCAGGGCACTTAAAATTTAAACATAATCAATGTTTAAACTTACTCCATATCATTAAAAAAAACAAACCAAATCTCTGTATTCCTCCAAATGCAGAGGACTATTTGTCTGCTGCATTTTTCAGAATTCTCTTGAGCCTTCTTGTCAAAGTATCATAGTAACATTAGTTTATAGGGTATTACAACAGTAGGAAGACTTAAGGTACAATGATCCTACAGTTTATCTCTGTTTTGTTGCTCATCTGTGAAAATGGCAAGAATAAGAATTTAATATAGTTGAGTGACTCAACAGTAATCGATGCTCAACAATGATTGGATGTGGATGGTGTGAAGCTCCTCAGCTGCAAAATGAAAAAGACACAGATCCTCTCCTTTGTAGAGTACGCACGCTAGTGGGGCATAACAAGCGAGTGAAATATGTCCATACTTAGATATCAACAGTGCTAGGGAGAAACGGACAGGGATGCCTTGAAGGAGCTATAGCTTTGAGTAAGGTGATCAGGGAAGGCTTTCCCGAGAAGCCAGCATTTAAATGAAACTGGAAGGAAGAGAGGGAATGAGTGGTAGGGATCTGCCTGGACAAATGTTCCAGGGGGAGTGAACAGCAAGACCGAGTGTGAGGAATGTGCCCGGTGTGGGAAAGAAACAGCAGAAGGCCAGTGTCGCTGGAGTGCAGGGGAAGAGCATGTAACACCCCCTGCCCCATTCTGGTCTCTTCTCTGAGGTGGAGGACTGGGGGAAGGAGGCCTGGAGCAGCAGTGTGATGTCCTAGGCCAGTGGTGGTGAACCCCTGGCATGTGTGCTGTGGCGGGCTGCTGGTATCATGGAGAGCTCTATAAGGTTGCTATCATCTTCCTGGGCCATCTTCCAACTAGGCTGCGCTGAGAGCAGACTCGCTGGGAACGGGACGAAGCACCCTCTGGGAGGCGGTGCCCCTTCCTGGGAGAGCCGTGTGGTGGTTTAGGCCATGAAGTAGACACGCAAGTTTAGTCACCATCTGAGCTACTTTCTCAGAAGAGAGAAACTTAAAGAGATGTAAGAGTCAAGAGAGAGAAAGAAGTCTGAAGGACTGGCCTGACTAGAATCTGACGGAACAGAGGGGTTGAGGAGACCATTTAGAAGGCGCTCATGACAGAAAAACTAGCTTCCGGAGAGCACATCCTTAACCCACTGACAGAACAGTCTCATACGTGAGGAATTATTTCTGTTTTATCTGAAAATCGAAGGATGAGGTAGCTAGAAAGAGCAGCCCATGTGACATGATCCTGCCATAAAAGCATTACACATGACTCACAGATTTAACCCAGAGAATTACTGTACTAAGAGATCCTCCTGCTTGCAAAATAGCACAAACAACGCTCTGCCATCACCAGGCAAGCAGAGCCACTCTCCCTCCAAATGCCTGGCTTTTAAAATACTTGAACTAAAACAAACAAAAACAGCATTAATGACTTCAGTGTCAGTTTCAAGCTACAACAAATGGTAAATAATCAGTCTCTTTGTCCATTAAACGCTTTTCAGAATTTATGGGACACTTTCCTTTTTTTTTTATTTTTTTTATTTTTTTTTAACTTGAGAAGTTTGAAAGCTCAGTAACAGCTGGCATTGCCAAGCAGTTTTTGTTTTCAAGCTAAGCACACTCCAAGATTATGTGTCCTATGGTCACCTTTACAAACACATAAAAACCCCAGTGTCCCAACTTCTGCAAAGCTCGGTTCCCGAGGAGTCAGCCAGGGCTGCTTTGTGAAGCACTGAGACTTCTTTAGAAATGACCTTCATGCGCTCTGTGGCGCAGCTCGAAGTGCTGGCGGATTCCCCACGACACTGCTACACTTGCTCAGGCCGTGTGTTTGGCCCACGTTTATCCACGTGTTTATGAAGACTGAAGGGAGCCTGAGTTCCGACTGTGATGGCTTCAGTGGGGAAAAATATGCAAAAAGGCACTGCTCTGAACTATAAAAAGAAGTGAATGCCAAGAAAAAAATCAGAACTGATACCTTTCAATAAAATTATGATCCCAATAACCCAAAAGAGGTCAGAATTAAGAAAAGCTATGCTATTTAACACCACAGGGGCAGGAATGAAGGAAAGAATTATGTATATTATTTAACTGGTTCCAAAAAAATCAGATCGATGATAGAGGGACAATACAATCATCTGAAAGTTGATGTGACCCATTTAATGAACGGAATGGTAAGCTAGCTCTCTTAGCACATCCCTTTTGTCACCCGTCCTTGCATCCCTGACCTATACTCCAGTACTCCCCACATGTCTGTCCCTCCAGATGACTCTGTCAAACTTCATCAGCATATTCTTGCTTTACACACACACACACACACACACACACACACACCCCATTAATGCTTGACTTTGAAAGATAAAGAATTCCAAGTGAAAAGATCTGCGTTAAATATGCAAAGGAGAATGCACAGCGAGACTTAACCGTAGGTGTCCGATGCTACGGAGGACTCGCTGTTCGAGCAGACACGAATCTGAGGCCACGCACCCAGGCTGTGCCTCCACAGAGACCTCTACCAGTACCACACCTGATCCAACCGGCATGAGGGGTGAAGGAGAGGACAAGCATGCTAGTCCTCAGAGGGATCTGTACAAATAACATCCATCCTAGAACAGTAACTATGTTGTCATTTTTGCTCCTCTGGAGTCTTCTGACTTCCACAGCTCTGCTTTCTCTGCCTATGGGCATAATGTCCAACTTGCTACAGTACTCACTAGGGAGGAGCAGGCAGGCCCATGCACAGCAGCCCTGAGGGCCCCGGCTAGCTGCTCTCGGGAGCTGGCCTGGCTGCAGGAGGCCTGTCCAACAAGGGGACATGAGGCCTGCTAGCAAACAGGAGGTTCAGAGAAAGAAAACAAGAACAGTAGTGCCTGTTCATTTCCAGGATGGTATTGAACTCAGTGTCTGCAAGAACCCTGACACCATTACGGCCATGATGGCCAGGGAGAGGAACAGGCCCATGTGGAGAGGGTGTCAGCCATGCCAACACACCTGAAAAGCTGCTGCCCCTAAATTCCACACATTTAGGTTTTTGAGTGTCAATAATAAATAAAAGAGATAAAACACAGGGGCTCGGTCCCTCCAGGAAAATGTGAACTCATACAGACTGCAGAACTTTAGAGAGTCCTAGGTCATTTGCTGGAAAGATTCCAGCAACCCAAGCCAGTCTTAGTTTTCAAATGCCTGCGTACCCCAGACCTGCCAGTCCACGATGATCAAGGGTTTTATCTTTTCAAGGTATATGAAGAGTGTGTCCTGTCTCATTCACTTTGCATAAATGGACAGTACACAGAGGAACAGCTGGCACTAGCCTCCTTGCCAGTGTTCTAGCAAACAGTGCCTCTCCTGGGCCTCTGGTCTGTTTCCTCGTAAGCCAATCTTGTGACCCTGCTGGCCAGGTGGCTACTAGCGAAGCCCGGGGCTGCTAACCTCCACTAGGGCCTCTGTAATCAGAGAAAAGTCAGACACCTCAGCACCAGGCCTCATGTTTTCCTGGCAAAACATGGGTATCATCTATCTAGACATTCAATAGCAGTATTATTTTAACATGGAAGCCAGGAGGCACCTTGGCAGTGCGGCCTCATGACTATTTGCATAGGAAGGAACCGTGAGATGTTTCTCAGCATGACGTAGGCTCCACCATCACTCTGTTCATATAGACCCTCCAGCACCACATGAACTGTACTATGGGGGATTAAGATGTAAGAACGACCCCAACCCTGGGGCTGCAGTTGACCGTTACTTAAAACTAGCCGTACGCTGGTATCACACTAAACTCTGGGGCATGACGGGCCCTGTACACAGGAGGTGAAAAAATTCCACTTGTTCATATTAAGTATCCCTCATCTTATGGGAGAAAGAGGTAGCATTTCCAATAGAGTGTCCCACGGGACACGGTCGGGGTGTGGGGCCTGCGGTACCTAGCTGCTTTTCCCGTTCCTCGCGTCGCTCCCGGGCCAGCCGCTGCCGGTCATCAACCCGTAGCACAGGTGGAGGGTCTAAAATGACATAAAAGATATGAGAGGAAGAGCAGATTAAAATACGCACAATGACAAATATCCTCATGTCCCTCTATGTGTCGCAGCAGCTAGTATATGTGTCTATAGTCACAGTGACATATTATCGAGTACACTTTCTGAGCATTCCTAAGCATTTTTTTTTTTAAATCTGTTTAAAAACATTATGTAGTGGCTGAGGATGTGGCTGAGGGATGCAGCATTTGCTAAGCATGTGTGAGGCCTTGTATGTGGTTTCTACCACTGGAAAAGAAAATTAGAAGAAAAACATTACGTACAATCATAACTTACCTGTAGCCTTTTTGCTATTTTCACTAAGCAATGTAATAAGCAATGTTTGGGGTTCCTAAGCTGTCAGAGTTCTATTATTTTTATACTTTAAATAGCCTGTTCCTTAACAATAGAGAGGGTTCTAGCTAATGGAACTTCTATTCAGTAGATGTCACCACTCGGAGGTGATGAGTCGGGCAACAGGATCTCCACTTCTGTGCGGTCAACTCGCCTGCTATACAAATGTGGCCAAGTTCCTGGAGCATCTTTCTCAGTTTTTATTTTTAACTTTAAGAATCTCTCACTGTGTACTGCAGGCTGGCCTTGAACTTACGTAGCCCAGGCTGGCTGGCCTACAACTCAAAGCAACCCTCTTGCCTCGGTCTCCTGAAGGCTGGGATTACAAGTGTGTGCCAACTCTCTTGTTTTAACTACCTTTCTAAACCTCAAGCTATGATGTGCGTTTTATTTATTACCTGTAAAATGAAGTAAAAAATAGAACTCGTCTCACACCATTAGAATGATAGTGAGTTAGGAGTAGACTGTTTAACACCTAAGTTGCAGGAGTCTACTCTCAGCGCGCTGAGTGAGAGCCAGGCATGGCTCCGTATGCTAAAAGACAGCAGTCAGCAAAGGGACCTGAGCCCTAAAGGGGGTTAACTGCTCTCCTCAGGAAAAATGTAGTAAATAGGGCAAATAAAATGCATAGAATAAAGACAACAGAGGTACACTTAAGAGTGTGAAGCTGAGTTAAACGCGAGGGGATTATGTTGTGTTGGGAGGATGATTTTGAGATGGGGCCCAAGGAAGGCACTGATGTGATGTCACGTTTATGTGGAAAGGCTCGATGGATGTGAGGAAGTGGGCTGTATAGATGTTCCAGAGAGAGTGTGAGCAAGGGCCCAGAGGGTCACAAGGACCTAATGTGTTGAGGAATGTGGTGGTGAATGCCTGTGATCCCAGCACTTGGGATGCTGACACAGGAGGAAGACCATGAGTTCAAAGCCAGCATGGGCTACAGAGTGAGACCCTATCTTACCCACCCCACAAAAAAAAGTGTTATTAGAAAGAAAGAGAGGGCCTGGGATATAGCTCAGTGGCATAAGTGCCTGCCTGGGAAGCACAAGGTCCTGAGTTCGATCCTTGATGTGTGTGTGTGTGTGTGTGTGTGTGAGAGAGAGAGAGAGAGAGAGAGAGAGAGAGAGAGAGAGACAGACACAGAGAGAGACAGAGACAGAGACAGA